TGCAGGGGTACACGCTGGGGACTGCGCAGCTGGCAAGCAGCTTTCCTGAGAAGTTCCTTGTGATTCTGCTGGACAGCAAGCTGAGCTTGAGCCAGCAACGCTGGCTCACTGCAAAAATGGCCAATGGTATCCTGGGCTGTATTTAAAAGAGCATTGCCAGTGGGTCGAGGGAAGTCATCGTTCCTCTTCCCTCAGTGCTGGTAAGGCCACATGTGGAGGAGTGCCGAGTCCGGTTCTGGGCTGCCCAGTACGAACAAGTTGTGGACAGACAGGAGTGACGTCAGCACAGGCTCTGAGATCCTGCTCCGAAATGGTGCTGCAGCATGCCCAAGAGGCAATTCCTAGCACTGGGGCTTTGCTCCAGTGCCCCCCTGCAGCTTGCAGCTGCCCTGCCACCAGGGGTGGATGCTGGCCAGCTCAAGGCCAACAAGACTGACCTGCTGCTTCTCCCTGCAGGGCGAACAAGGGGGCATCAGCTCCATGCTCGCTTCTGCTCACAGCTCCTTGGGCACACCAACAGTACAGACCCCCCAGGGTGGGAAATGAAATGAGAATGACAACTATTGTGTAGGTTTGAGTGGAGTTTATTTTGCGGTTGGCAGCTGGCCTGGAGTAGAGGGTGAAGATGTGATGTGTTGTGGCTCTAAATCCAGCAGGCAAGTAACACTGCAGGGCTCTGTTTCGCTCTCTCTTTGTGGTACAGTGGCCATACAGAACCCCAGGACAGCAAAGGTGCTTGAGGCTATTCCTCTGCCTCCCACACTGACCTGCCTGCTGCTGCCTTTTCCTAGGCTTTGCTCAGAGCAGTGAGCCTGTGTCAGTGCCAAAGGAGGGACACAGTGCCCTGGGACCCGTCCCACGGCAATGCCTGCCCAGCCACCCTCCCCAGCACAAGGTCCCTTAGGAGACAGGGAGGTCAGGAAGTCACAGTGCCCTGATTGCATGGCTGGTGCACAAAGTTCCCAGCACAGACTTTCTCCAGCAATTTCCACCTTTTTTTTTTTTTCCTAATACTGGCCTAAAATATGTTTTATCAAACAAAAGTTACATCCTGAATGCAGCTGTGAACATTTCCATGCCCAAAGCTGTGACTGATCAACAAACCCCTAAAGTGGAAGGAGGCTCAGAGGAGATGGGCACAGGAGATACACTCATGATGCTCAGGGAAGAATACAAGGAGCAACCACAGCTGTTGTAAATAAAGCTGAACTTATCTCAGTGGAAAAGGGGCCGGAGGGTGGCTTTTGTTTTAGATTAATTGCCATATCAGTTGAGTGATCAACTGGTTGTGTAGGTGGCCTGAGTTAATCAAAAGGTGTGAATGTCTTCCTGAGCCAGCCAAACCAGCACGGGTCTCAGCCCAACATAAAGCATAAAAACTGAGCAACCAACAAAACAAACTTTGAAGAGTGCTATGGGCTTGAGCTGGCTTCTTCACGATGACTGGAGATACCCAGCGTCATGATGGTGAGTGTAAGGAGACCAGTAACGGGAATTTCGTTTGTATTGTGATCCAACTGGATGTTGCAACTGCTATATTGTGCTTGTACTGTGATTGCTGCTTCACTCTGCTGAATCAAAATCCCATGTAACATCAAATGTCTTCAAATAAGTAAATTTGGTAATAACACATTAAACCCTCTTCATGTGGAGTATCTAAAAGAACCTGGTCAGAGTGTATTGGACAAGAGAAAGGCCGGGACTGCAAGGCAGCATGGTCAGGAAACACCTCACCACACGGTATGCATCTCCAGGCGGGCTCAGTTTACTCAAGGCAACATACACAGCAGTACAACGCAGAACGGTTTGAAATGGCCACCCCTTTGTAGCATCAAGGACAGATGGGAAAGATGTAAGAAGACAGGCCAATGTGCATAGGTCTGTGTACAACCTGCCTACTAATGCAAGGCCACAACTTCATGCAAGCAAAAGAGACAGCAGGTGATACTCCTTTCTGACCTTTGATTCAGCTTAAGTTTTAGTCACTTCAACAATACAATGATAATAAGAAACCAACAACCTTGCATGTATCAAAAAGTAAAACTCTAAATATTTATTATTCAGTTACATTTGCTTTTCATTGCACGAATTTGGTTTTTATCCCCATGTTTTACAGTTTTTTACAAAGCTGTTAGGAGTTTTAGAAACTGTTAAAATGATCACTTAAGTCTATTTAGGCACAGTTCATTAATGCATAACTCCATTTCCTCCACTTTTTTTCTCTGTGTGAAAGATTTATGGTTGCATTTAAGCTCCAAATTGAAATACATTTCACAGTCTACGCTTTCATGGGCATATTGTCTAAAAAAGAAGTTTTGATTAAATAGTCTTGCCTTATCAAATGTTGCCAGCAAAACCTAAATGAAAGCAACTTCTTTTCCAGAAATGCTGAAATCAACACAAACCCTAAGATGAGAACCATGGTGGCCAACCATCTTCTATGCTAGCCAGTCATAGGATAACAAAGAAACAGTCCTCAAGAGGATTTAAAAATCCCCTGGAAAAACTACTTTAACTTGGAAATAATTTAAATAATTTATTCTGTATGAAAAATAAGCAAAAAAAATCCAGGAAATAAAACATATATGGTGACAAGGAAAGTGTTGTATCCCCTGGACTGCTGAGCTGTGTCAAGTGCTCTCCCTTCTGACAATGATAGCTTGAAAACCAGAGTGTCATATCCCTGGGGTCACCCTCTGTGAAAATGGCTTTGAAGTTTGAAGCTGTCAGGCCTGTTTGACATGGCTGAAAAACTGTGAGCTTCTCGATTTCTTACGTAGCTTTTCTCTTTGGTGAGAAAGCCTGACCACTTCTGGTGTAAGATTCAATGTGTTTGGATTAAAGCTCTGTATCTGGGGTGAGCTGCTTTTGCATGTAACTGCATACTGCAGAGTGTTCCCAGGGTACACGAAAATCCATTCTAAAGGATCTGAAATCAGCTGAAGTTTGTTTCAACAACTTTGTTATTAATATATTATTTTTTACAAAAAGAGTAGTGTTAAATAAGTGACTGATGCTAAAGGACTCTTCCTGAAGAACATGAACAACTACCCCCTCTCTCTCATGCTGCAGAAACAACAATATTTGTGACTTTTTAGCACCCACATCTGTTGTTGCTATTCAGAAATGAATGAAATATTTTTGAAAGCTGGGTGAAGTCTTTGCAGCAGAGAAAAAGGGATGCTGAAGTCTTTGTGTGATTCCCATACAAGAGTATTTAGTGCCCATGAGCTCCCTGCTGGCTATTGCTTTCAGGGATAACCAGAGGGGCATTTCACATGAGCACAGGCAGTGTAAGCCTTTAGTCCCCTTGCTAAGGAGTCCTGTCTGTGGGAATTTCTGACTGTGGAGATAGATTTATTTATTTATTTTAGACTTTGGGAATCATTAGGCTTCAGGGAACTAGCAGGGCATAGTATCATTCCTACACGTGTCACAACAGAGGTGCACAGTACAGGTTAAACAGTGGTTGCTTGCTCTGCTTGGGTTTAAGACATCTCCATAAGCTCTGCATTTGGGGCAAGAAAAAACATTCCCCCTCCGGCGCTGCTGCTGTGCTCAGACCCCGGGGCAACTGACAGTGTGCTCTCTTGCCCCACACCACAGGAACAAATGAGAGGAGACCCCCCAGGCACCGAGGCAGGCAGGTCTGTGCACTCCCTTGGTGCTGCTGCTGGCCCAACCCTGCACATTGTGGGCAGACTACGTAAAACCGGTCACAGGTGCCAGCCCTGAAACCAAGGATGGGAACCTGCATCCTGCAGCTGCTCTTGCCTTAAGTCAAGGGCTGGGGAAGGGAGCGAGCTAGAGAGCTGGTGCTGAAGGGCACAGATGAGTGTGGCTGTGGGGCTTGGGGAGACAGGGCAGCCCTGGAGGATGCAGGGGGCTGGGCAACACAGCTGGGAAGAGGGAGCCTGCAGCTGTAGGTGGCTGCAGGCATGGGACAAGGCGCTGGCACCTGGGAGCTAAGGAAGCAGCAGCTGTGAGCACAAGGACAAGTAATACACCAGCAAGGGAGGGCTGTTCATGACCGGCCACGGTCCTATGATCCTCCTGTGGTTGACATCACACTTCTAGCACCATTGCTGAAAGGTCTGCAGTGGGTTGGGGGTCCAACTCCCTCCTCATCCTTTTAATCCCTTTTGGCAAACCCCCTGCTGCCAACACTGTGCAGCTTTAAATGTTGTCCTCATTTGTCTGATGAGCACCGCAAGACCACGGCCCCCAGTTGACTGCAACTGGTCTTTGGCAGGAGGGAAAGAAGGCCACTGACTCAAAGAACCCAGACTTCTGCACCTGCAGCTTCCCTGGTGAGAACCAGCCCACACCACTGCCCCTTTAAAGTAGGACCTCCAAACACCAACTCTCCTTTACCTATCACAAAAGTGCTGGCCCTTGGCAGCCCCAGTGCAGCCTCCCGCTCGGAGCGGGACTATCCCCAGCACGAGGTCAGGGCAGCCACAGCTTTGCCTAGCCACCCAGCTGCAGGGCCAAGCCATGAGGCAAGAGGGGTGCATGAGGATCACTTTGGAGCTAGAGGTGCCTCTGAAGCTCAGCTGCAGAGTGGTCTCCTGGGGCAGGAGGACAGCAGCCACAGGAGCAGTGCTGCTGGGTCCAGGGGTGGGAAAGAAGCTGGCAGCTGCCTCCAGTCTCCCATCCTCATGTCATGTGGAGGGGCAGCAAAACAGGTTGTTCCTAGAGCTTAACAGGTGGCTTCTCCAGGACCAGAAGAGCAAGATTTTCCAAAGTCTCTTACTAGCATTAATGCATGAGCTTCTGACATCAGTGAGCAGGCAAGCAAGGGAAGCCTGAAGAAGCGCAGCAAGTCCATCAGTAACTGTCTGGTGATGATTAGGGAAATGTGACCACCACAAGCTAAGGAAGTCCATGCTGCCTGAAGCATCAGTTTTTCCCCCAGCAAAAGCCCTAGGAGGAGTTATCCGCAGGAACTGGAGTCTGCTCCAGTTGCCAGGGGTGCAAAGAGCTGCAGGCCAGCGCCCTCAGTAACTGCCTGTGTCCGTGCAGAGGTTTCTGAGCTCCAGCTCCAGCTGTTTAATTTGGATATCTCTCTGGTTTACCAGCTCACGTAGTCTACGGATTTCTTCCTGTTGCCGGTAAAACATCTGCAAAAGCTGTAAGAAAAGTCACATTTCACTTCCTTTACACTACAAAAACGCAGACTTAACCTGTCAAATGCCACCAGTCCTGTCACATCACTTCTGAAAGAAACAGCATCTAAGGAGGAGGCCTTCAACCTACAGACTGAACATCAGCAGTGCTCCTGCTGTCCACTAGCCTGGGCTATGAGTGCGGGTGTTTCTCAGCACCATTTAGTAATGCTACATCTGCTTAATTCAATGGAAAAGATCAGAAAAAATAACTTTCATACCACTGATCACTCAAAGAGAGCCTAGACACAGAGTATTTGGAGTCTAAACTCCTGGATCTGCCACATCTCCTACTCTGACCTTGGGCAAGTCCTTTTAATTCTCTTCTTTTTTCCTGTTGATCATGCTCCGTCCTCTCCAGTTGGGACTAGCATGGCCTTTCACTGTGCACACAGCAGAACACCCAGCTCTGCAAGGGCTGCTTCTGTAACCTTGGGGCGCCAGCTCTGAAACATGCAGAAGAATATCCTTTTTCACACCACAGGGAAATTCAGCTGTGGAAATTCCTGCCCCATCAAGCTGCAGATGCTAAAATCTTGCAGAGCTGAAAAGGGGACATGAGCACGGCTATGGGAAGGAAATCCTTCCAGGGTTCCTAAAAGTAAACAAGCTGCATGTACTCGAAAATGTCCCCGAGTTGCCAATGATGGGGTAGTTGCAAATCACCACAGAGCTCTACCACTGTACAAGCTTTGGTTACTATACAGGGAGGGGGTTGGCCATGGCTGAAGACAGATCAAGGAGCTGCCAGGACCTTTCCTGGAGCCATTCCCAGGAGCAGGCTGCAACCAGCAGCCAGCCTCAATAGCACTGCACTGCCAAGTTGTCCCCCAGCAGTGAGCAGACACTCAGGGACAGAGCCAGCCCCTTTCCCATGTCAGGGTCCACAATATGGTTAGGCACTTAAAACTACATGGATGTGCCATGGGCCAACGGAGCAGGCTACACCCACTCCTTCCACAGGCATCCCTGCTGCCTCACCGGGCTCTCTGAGTGCAGCTCTCATAGAAGGGTTACACTGCATAAACCCCCTTCTCTTCTCCAGAACCTGGAGGTCACAAGGACCTCCTTGTCCCCAGCCAACCACCAGGCAGGCCTGTGCCACAAGAATGCCTAAGACATGGGAATACTGATCGCTCCCTCCTTTCCAGAGCCCCTCAGCTGGAGTGCTGCTGGGCCACATTTCTGCTTCCCATGTGGCAGCCAGGGCATGCAGAGCTTCTTCCCCCACAAAGAACGAAGAGCTCACACTGGCCCAGCTCTGCAAAATAAACCCTCCCCGGATTCTGTCACCTTGTGAACAGCATCCTTTTGCCAGCTGACTCTGGGCTTCCCCCCACAGCCCCAACCCTTCACCCCAGACATTCACACCTCATTTTCAGTTTTTGGTGGTGGACACTCAAATATGTCAAAGCCATTGGAGAGGCATATTTGCTCATTTTTCGGCAATTTCTCCTCCACTTTCAGCTGTTTTCTGCTGTCTTCTATCTCACTTGGCTTCTGCATGTCCTCCAGTGGCATCCTTCCTCCCCGACCCTGGTGCTGGCTCAGGTCAGTAGTTTTCATGAGTGGCTCTGGCTCAAGAAACTGTGGTAAGGAATTCACAGCTCCAGAGCCTGGTCTCAAGGATACCAAGAGAGGCCCTAGGGAGGGAGGCAAGTGATGGGTTAGCACTTACAAACCACACTCAGAAATCAGCTGTAAGCAATTCATTCAAACAACCTGTAGGGATAAACATGGAAGCACTTGACTGGAGCAGCTTCCAGAGTTCACAGTGGTGAATATTTTAGCCATCAAATTATTTTAGCTTACAGCCATATTTGTTATGTCTCTCGTTTTCCTCCCTTCCTCTTTCTCTGGCAGTTAACAGGCCAGAGAGCCAGCGGCAGCTTACCCAAGCCCTTGGGAGCTGAAGGGCTGGGGAGCTCTCCATGTGCTGACCTTTGTTAACTCCGTTCAGCCACTCTTGTGCTGTCAGCGCTGGCTGGGCTCCTGTGGTCAAGGGGTAGATGTCTTCCTGGTATGACTCCGACTGCAAGCAAACAAAAGTCCAGAGTCACTATGTCAGTGAGGTTTTGGCTTAGAGGGACCATACCGGATTGTTGTGGAGAAAGAAGTTTGTTCCACCTCAGCACAGGGAGTGTCATGAACACTCACCGGCATGGACATAAAATCTTCTCACCTGCCCTGAGCCTCTCTCCTCCTCACCCCAACTCAGAAGAACTGCATCTGAAGGCCTATTTTAATTCCTGCCAGTAAGGACTTTACAAATCCAGACAACAGACTGGGGGAGGTTGGTGACATAGGCTAACCCAACTCTCATAAGCTCAGTGTTCCTGAGGATGAAGAAGTGGATACGAAGGATGGACACAAGTCACAAATCATCAGCCGATCATCAGCTGAGAGAAATTGGCCAAGGAGATAATGTTGGAGGAACATGCCTGATTGGTAGTTGCAATGAGCATTAGCTCTGCTGCCTCTCTGAATGCAAGGCACTCATACCTTCCAATGTTTCTGGAAGTACAGGGCACAGTGCTGACATTTCCGATGTACCTTTGCTCACATGGTCACATGGGAGCTACCTTGGCTAGCTACAGATTCATGACTTGGGTCATTCTCTAGCCACACCAGCTCCAAGACTTACTTCTACATCACTCTCAGTGCAATGGGTCATGTCTTACATGCTGCAGAACAACTGCCTGTAACACACCTGCACCCACTGGGTAGAGAGCTGGGAACCCTTCGTTCCCTTTTTCCCAGGATGATTCTTCTTCCTTCCACAAGGAGATTTTCATGTCACTCAACATCACCCCCAACCCCTCTCTCTCTTTTGTCATTATGTCAAACAGATGCCACCAGCTGAGGAAGTTTACAGCGAGCTAGTTGACCTGACAGTCAGAGAGGCCCCTTGTTGCACCCAAGCAGAGCATGTCTTAGAAAGTTGGCCATTACATGGAGACCTAACTCTTGAATTACCTAGCCAGGGTTTGTTGGCCAGGCTGCCCCACAAACTGACCAGCTTTGTCCCCCACACCAGGAGAGAGAAAATCCCTTGTTTTACCTACTCTCCTGCCCCCCAAAGTCACAGAGAGGAGGCACTGCCCTGTTTTTCACTGATATTTTGTCCCAGACATGAACATGACCTGACGTTAACTTACCCGTCGAGGCACAATCATGGAGATGGGCTCAATCAGGCTTTTAGTTGGGATCAGTTTGTAGAAACGGAAAATCTCACAAGCTGACACTTCAAGGCCTCTCTTTGGCATCATTCCTGGTGGGATAGCATGAAAGAAACGGGGTCTAAATCTCCCTAGGAAAGTTAATGTCATCCACCATTGTAAAAGGGTCACCAAACAACAAAAGAAGTCACAGCATCAGCTCCACAGCAGCATGGTCTGAAATCTGCACCCAAAACTGGCTCAGTGGCACAAATGACAAGACTAAATATTTTTTTTCTGTCAGGCCATGGAGTTACACACAGGGTCTGTGGTTCTCATGCTAAGCCTCCTGTTCCTTATTCATTCTCATGAGCTGCAAACAGAGTTACCAGGACTGAGCAGAACTGGCAGGTGATGCCACAGAATTTGACTATCAGGATCAGCAGGAAGGGATTTCAGGTCACCTAAACAACACCAGAATAGCTACATGGGTCAGGCTGAAAGCCCTGCCAGCCCACTACCGCCCCCCAAAACTGTCCCAAAGCAGAATGGAGTATGAGAAGGGTGTGAACATCTACTCTGTCAGACAGCACCATTTGTGTTTCAGGGACTGGCTAAGCCACACAAGGTCTCTAAGTACTTGGTAACCTCAGTGGATTTCTCTCCCATGAGCTTGTACAGTCCAAAGCCTACAACCATGTCAATTTCCTTAACAAAAGAGATTGCCTCTCCTGGGACACCTTGCTTCATGGTGTCCTACAGAACCTTTGTTTTCTACTAAAACCAAATGACTTCATTAAACAGTAGATTCTACGTGAAGGACTGTTGCTCCTTACATTATGCATTTATCTAAATGTGAATCTAAAGTCCGCTCCTCTACATTGTATTTTATTTTGGCAATATTGGGAAAGAAGCTATTGTGCAATAACCTTAGCAGCATTTTTGACAAGCAGAACAGATCAGGTTAGGGAAGTAGATTTGATTCACTCAGGCCTTTTAAAAACACTTGTACACTTCCTTTTCATGGAATGTTTTTTAAAGAGACTATGACATTAAAATCAGGATGATGTACATTGGAAGGATTATAAAAGCTGAATAATGGAGAGATCTTCCAGTTAAGTTTTAAGTAATTTATTCCTTTTCAATAACAGGTTTTTTAAAGGAGACCTGCAGGCACAAAATCTAGTGCTGCTAAATATCTGTACCAATGTCCTGGAAGAATGGGAGTGTCCACAGGTAGTGTGGAGGGGTGGCAAATGGTCCTAAAAACATATCAGTCTATAGGGGAATATGGCTTACAGGATAGACTGGAGGGGGTTCAAGAAAGGGCTATCAATAGCATCTGAGGGCTGAAAGCCAAATTCTGTGGCTTGAATGAGTTAAACAGTGGATAGTATGTGGACAGGTTAATAAGCAAGGGTCTCCAATGGAGGAGAGGTGACCGAATCACAGCAGGTCTATCTCTAAATGGGAAATGCCAGTACAGGATAAGGTAGGCAAGCGATAAGAGTGAAGGCATTAAGATGTGGAGCACCCATTACCAGAGAAATCCCAGAGTGGAAACAATGTCAACAGAATTCAATGTCAAAAATCTTGGAGCAGATTCACAAAGGGCAAGGACTATCCTCCACCTTTAAATCCAGACTATTCTCCCTTCCACCTTGACCAGGTATGTGAGAGGCGATGCAGCAGTGACTGGTAAAGCTGCCCAGCCCATGGTCTGCTGGTCACAAGGGACCCCTCCAAGCTGTGACCCTGTAATACCACCTGTGATATATAGGTGAGCTGGGCCAAGCTGACTGTTGTGCACCTGTAAACCTGGGTGGAGACTGGAGTCTGACCCAGTCAGATTAGTCTCTTTTCTAAATGGTATTTTGGATAGTCTGGACTCTGACAGCCTCTAAACCAAAGAAGCCACCATCTTCTTGTAATGTTAGACATACGCTGCCACTCACCAATTCCCTTCTGTGGTAAATGAGAACGATATTCCATCAGGTAGTTCAGGTATGGTTTCTCAGGGCTTATCTCATAGTACCGTATATTTCCATCACCCTAAAGGCAAAGAAAATGAACGTAAGCCAGGCTCTGCTGTTCAGCATGAGGATCTGAGAAGAATGCCTGGCCCCAGAAGCCATGCAGGGTCAAGAATGAACCAAATATTTACCCACGAATTCCTTTGTGGGAAGGTTAGGTCTCTGCAGTGTACCTCCCCACAGTAAACGTGGTACGTCTGCAGTGGAAAATGTGACCTGATGCTGCAGCGCCCTCAGGGCCCATCCCATCAACATATATCCTTAGGTTAATGTGCTTCAGGAGCATCTTTGACTTCAGCCAGACGCAACACAGGCCGGGAGAAGAATTGGACAGGCCAGCATTTGCTGATGTGGAAAGCACTTACCTTTCCCACAACATAAAGCATGTGCGTGTCTGAGTCGTAGAAGGGAAACAGGAGTCCTGAAGAGCCATCCAGATCCTCCTCCAGCAAAGGCACAGAAAGGTCATTCTGGGCAGGACACAAGAAAAACAGACAGCTGTGATCACCTGTCAGTCACCTCAAGTCAGGGACACCTTACCTGAACCCCACCTGGCAGCAACATGTGAGCGCAGCTCTATAATGATCCTAGGTCATGGCCAGCTGCCCTGAGCAGAGGGCCATGCACAGACTTCTTCAAAGCTCTGTGGGTGGGAAATGGGTGCTCTGTCCCTGGCTCTTGACTGAGTGCAGCACGTCAGGACATCAGTTCCTACCACTAGAACATTTCAGGCATCTGATGACAGGTAGATACGATAAGAAACACTGCCTGCCTTAAGTGGGCCACCAGACTCAATGAGATGGAGGGGCCTTTGGGGCATGTCTGCATCGCACACTGAATTACTCATATTCCCTCACTACCTCTAGTCAAGGCAATACCTCCACAGTAGTGCACCACCCACCACAAGAACAGTCTACATCAACCGAGCAGTCTCCACACTGCACGGTGGGAAGGTGCCCATTGCAAGGGCAAAAGCTCCCATCAGCATTTTGCAGGTAAGCCATGTCGGAGGACATAGCACACCACTCTATACACAAGGCTGGCATGTCTTATATAAAGCTATGCCTGCACTGCTGAAGGGAGCAATGTCGGGAGGACCAACGGGGCAGAGTATGGCATCCCATGGCTGCCATTGTGGCTACTGTCACATAAATACGTATTTAGCATAGGGTTAATACATTGTCCTGCAAAACTGCCCAGGTGCAGGCTCCAGAAAGCCAGAGCTTCCATTTAGATATGATGAAGACATGGGTGGATATGACCTCAGAAAGATGCCTGCTGGGCAGGTCCTGTCCCAATGCTTGTCCCTAAGGAGGCTGCACATACCTGACCGCACAGGCCTTCCTGCTGTGTTCTCAAACTAAGTGTGGCCAGCTCCTCCAGCAGCTCTGAAGGCAGTGAAACCCTGATGCGAGACCCATGGTGTACCTGAGCACTGCTCAACTTTGTGGAAAGCCTTCAGACAGCATCACAGTTCTTTGCCTCTCACATATGCAAAGAAGCCATGTCCAAACATAGCCAAATGGCAAATCATAGACCTGGTCTAGCAGCTTTGTCTGGTACAAAGGATGACAGCACAATAAAGAGGCAGAAGATTGTGCTGCAAGGTGGTTGACACGGAGGGACAAAGTGAGATGCTGACAAAGTAGCAGCATCTCACTGTATATGAGAGGGGTAGAGGAGAGCAGGGTTTCAGAAGGCTAGCAGCCGTCTTGTTAGGACATCATGTCTTGGAAGTGACCAATAAGTGCTACCTTAATACTCTACTGTCAGGAATAATCAGAAATCAAAAACACCCCACATCTTTTTCTCCATTGAGGGATTCACCTGAGTAGGCTGTGTCTAGAGCTCATTTCTCTTTCCAGTAACAGTAACAATTTGCCAGTAAGAGCTGCTTTTAAGTCAGAGCTACAGTGACCACCCAAAGGTCCTTTGAATTATTTCTTCCTGTAGTGGGCACAGCATTGTCTTTGTTCTGGTGGATTTCTATGCTGAAAGCTTTGCGAGCTTCTTCAGAAACTCATACTCAGTTAACAGTGTCATAGCAGTAAGACCTGTCACCCATTAAGAATTTGACAGATCACTTCTGAATTGCTGTTATAAACCAATTCTTGGGTATTTGGTAGGTGGAAAAGTTAAAGTGACAGCAAAAGAGAGAAAACTGAAGCTGGTATGGTTAAGATTGCTGGTCCAACTCACTTGATCCCATAATGCAATTTGCCTATTATTCCACCGAGATGTTCCAGTAGAGAACAGCTTTTTCACGTTTCCAAGGAACAAGACTTTATTGACTCTGTGAGACTTGTAGCTGGCTTCCTATAGGAAGAGAAAGGACACTGAGTGAGTAAGAGACACCACCTGTTGCATAGCTACATTTCATGCTACATGAGACCTCTGATTCAGTCACATCTGACAGATCTGATCAGCCTGGCTGAACTACAGTGAGCAGGATTTCATGGGGATCCAAGAAAAGTGGCCTAAACTCATCAGGACCATTCCCAAAAGCCCACTCTCTCTAACCATTGAGTCACATATTTGCAAGAGGGCAATCCCTATTAGTTGTAGGCAGGACTTTCTGTGTACACCAATCTGTGCAAATACCTACAAAACGCAGTCAGCTTCACCTTACCAACAGATACAAAGTACAGGCAACAAGAACAACTCTGGCAGTGGGACAAATGTACACTTGCATCACTGTCCACCTGATCTCTACAAGCCCTCCCAAGGCGTCCCGCAGAGGACTGCAGGAGAGAGCTATGAAAACAGTGCACTTCAAGAAGGGTTTCAGGGAGCAAGAAGCATGGTAGCAAGATGCAGAAACCCTGTTTTCAACAATGACAGCAAGTGTTCCATGAAAAGTAGAAGGCAATAGCACCATCTGGTGCCTTGGGCAACACAGGGCACAGATGCATCTTCTTTTTAATGGCAATGAATCTATCCAGAAGAGGAAACACTCGAAGGGGTGAGATCAGCTGGACCACAAACCTCTGAACCCAACCTACTTGTAGGACTGTTCCTGCACGAGGGTCTAGCAGACGTATCTTTCTGTCCCTGCAGGCTGTGGCAAGGAGACTGCCATCTGTGTTGAACGACATGGAGAGGACCACATCTTTGTGAGCGTCGAGAATCTTCACCGGGTTCGAGATGACAGCCTCCTTGGTGTCAAGATTCCAGATCATTATCTGGGGCAAAAGAACAAAAAAAATCAGCCCTTTGCTGCCTGACCAACTGGGGACTTTGTGTACCCTATTCACTTCTTTCTCTCTTCTCTACACGTATAAGTCTTACGATCATAAGTGGTTGCTCTCCAGCATTTAAAATAATTCCTGGTACTTACAGCAATATACCAGGGACACAGTGTCTGCTCAGAATGTCCAATATTCTAATTTCCTTTGCAACCACATTTTATACATAAAAATGGTCAGCATCAGTGAAGATATTTGCATTAGCACAAGAACGAAGCCAAACAAAAGTGCATGGCATTGCATATTGTATCCAATCCAGTAAAGGAGAAAGGCAGAGTAGATTGAAGTTCATCAGAAGACTGGAAAATCAGAAAGTCCTTTTGAACTTGTAGCAATGTCCTTTTGCCTTTGGGGTCACCATGGAATTTGCCCCTCAAGAAGGCTTCTGAACTCTTTAGTATTATCTTACAGCTTGAAATTAAAACAAATTTCAAAACACCCTGCTAAACAGGGTGGAGAGCTCTCCCAGGAGGAGAGCTCCACAGAGAACAGACCCACCTTGTAGTCATAGCCAGAGCTGAAGAGGATGTTATTAGCAGTGGGATGCCATTCAATGAGGCCCACTCTTCGAACATGCCCAAGAAGCTCCTTCTTCGGACTGGTAACGTTTCTTGTTAGCAAGTGCTTGGGGATGTCCCAGATTTTAACCTGAATGGCACAGGATGGGTCTTTGTAAGATTCCTAAGTAAGGAGCTAATTTGGAACTTACCAATAACTATATGAATAGGAATGCTCCTGGCTTTACTGAATACCAGTGCTTTAAATTAGTATCTTTACTTTTCTGTGGGCCTGAAGGCTCCTCTTTACCCTCTATCTTTAGCCAGCAGCTCTATCAGTTTGTTTTAACTTAGCAATCCAACCCTTACACCTGGCCAAGCTGTCAGCACAATTATGAAAAGTTATTCCCACAGATCTTGCAGACCTTGCCTCCTAATAAACTTTGAGCAGGAACAAGCAAATCTGAAATAAACTTCAGCAAAGAGTCCCAGTAGATACCATAGCAGTGATTGATCCAAGCAGTCATCCACTCAACACTACGTAGTAAAAGAACTGAGAACTCCTCTGGTCAGATGACAGCTATAGTACTGTTTGTCCCATAAAGAACTGCACCAGTGCTGAACACTTTGCAAATGACACAGCTATTTGTCAAAGTACACAGAAACCCACCCAGGTGGCCACACAGCAGATGCCCTGAGCAGAGAGACTGGGCAGCACCGCACTGAAGTCACTCAACACTGGGAGTGTGCTGTCTCATAACAGGTCTATCTGCAGCCTTGGGTTCTTCTAGAAGGATGCTGCATAAAGACAAAAATCCTCTGTCCTCCTGGGGTGGAAGAAGACAGTAGAGGAAACCTGCAAAAGGGGCTGAACCTATGCAGGTAAAACTTTCTCACACTAACCCTAGAAGCACAAGTATTTAGGATGCTAACAGATGATTAACCCTTTGGCTCAATGAAAATCACTATGCTTGTCATAATTTTTCTAGAACTTAGCCTGAAGCAAAAGGGAAATGCTCTTTGAAGGAGATAGTTCATGGAAATTAGCCACACCTGCCTGAGTGTCCCACTGTTTGGCTGATGAGGATCACACCTTTCTAAGCCAAAGAAGGAAAGGCACAAATTCTGGGACCTGCTGGGAAAGAACATGAGCACGCTTCTCAACAGTGTTTATCCCACTGAGGAATCAAGCCCATGAGAAACCTAAGGACGTGGGGCCCAGTAGCCTCCAGATGAACTTCTACAGCAGTAAGAGAAGCATCACACTCTACAGCTTCAACAGCTATCACTAAAGGAATGGGGCTGAGAGAGTAGGAAAGGTTGTGTTCACGCTGAGAAGAACTGCTTAGAATGAACCATTCGCTCCCCATGCTATGAAATAGTTGGTGGTAAAAGTAGGGAAAAGCCCCTGGCTGGAATCTCAGGGTGCATTCAATGGCAGAAATTGCCAGTGCTTAGTGTGCAAAAGAAGCAGGTCTTGCAGCCAGACCTGCCAGGCCAAGCAGGAACAATCCACGAGCTGTCTACCCTGCTGCATCTTGAAGAAAACCTGACAAAGCAAAGTAAAAGGCACAGAGTTGCCCCTCTAACCACAGGGAAGAAGAACTTCGGCAAGCTGAATTCATACGTGCCTGATGATTTGCCAAAAGGAACAGAAGGGCTAAGAGGATAAGCCCTCTCCCCATACTGTTCAAACTCTCAGCCCCTGGCCACTTGCATTGGCCTCAGTCCTAAGCCTGCCTGTAGCAGCAGTGGGAACTAGAAAGGGCACTGGGTGCGGACAGAGGCTATCCATCCCCTCCCATGCCCAAAAGTACCACTCTACATGCTTCAGCTACACGCTACAAAAGATAGCTGTGGCACCAACAAGGCAAGCGCCAGAAAGACTGGTTAATGGCCAAGAAACCTCTGAGGAATGTGGGTGATGGGAAATTTCCACCATCTTCACAGAAGCTTGTGGCCTTCCTCAAAAGTTCCAGGGAGACCCAGCCCATTAAGAGCAATCAGATGCATCCTTGCACACAAGCCAGAACAGTGGCTTATGCTAATGATGAGAAATGGCAGAGAGCACCATGCCTTTAACAACAGACTGCAAGGAAGGCTTTGGCTTTAATATCCAGCCCAGTGGAAGTGGTGGACACCTCTGGGAACCCAAAAACTTCCTCAGACTTCTCTCAGGACAGAGAAAGTGTTGCTGTGGAGGTGTCCCAACAGTATGTCCAACCTGAGCTCTCCAGTACAGGCCAGGACAAGTAAGACAGACGTTGACCCCATAAAGTGAGTCCAACAGCAGCCACTGAGATGAGGAAACAGGAGCACAGCAAATCTGAGGAGAGCTGGAAAGAAAAGAATTTGTTCAGCCCGGGAGCAAGAAGGCAAAGGTGAGCTCTTCTAGCTGCCCTTCAACTACACTGCAGGAAGGCACAGAGAAGACTGGAGCCAGACTCTTTGGAGGTGCACAAGGAGAGCACCAAAGGCAATGGACACAAATGGCAATATGGGCACTCCCTGGAGATCAGAGGAGCCCTATTTTCCCCAGAAGGGTACTCAACCCCTGCAAGAAGGGCCCAGTGAGACCATGGGATCTGTAGCCTTGGAGATCTTCCCAACTCATCTGGACAAGGCTTGGAGCAACCTGATTCAACTGGCCTGCTTTGAGCAGGGCTTGGAATAAATGACCTCCACAGGTCTAGCTACCATGTACCAGGAAAGACAGTCACACTAAGAAGCACAGTCTGCTGTCCTCACTACTTACCGGGGAGGGAAGACGTGTCCCTACACTGTGTCATTGTGCAGGGGACCCCTAAGATCCCATTTCCTGGTGCCAGGATGATGATGGGAGGGTAGTACCAAAAAAGAGAGTACAATCACAAACAGCAAGACTTCTTAGAACAACTTTTGGTGCAGAGACCAGTAATAAGCTCAGTGTTTCCATTCTTTAGCCTGGAGAATGATCCAGTGCCAAGTTTCAGTAGGAAATTGGAAAAGAAAGCTGACAGAGAACAGCCCTTCTGCATAGACCCTGGGTTCCTGGTGGACAATAGAATAAATATGACCTAGCAGCATGCCCTGGCAAGGATGAAAGCTAGCAACATCCTGGTCTGGAACAACAGGAAGATAGCCACTAGATCAAGGGAAGCGATTTTCGCTTTTACTCAGCAATCATTAAACAACAGCTGGAATACTGCATCCAGTTTTGCACCTCCCCGTGCAAGAAAGATGCTGATAAACTTAAGTGAGTCCTGTGGAGGCCACCAGGATGCTCAGGAGGCTGCAGCACTCGCCCTGTGAGGAGAAGCTGAGGGAGATGGCCTTGATCAGCCTGGAGAAGAGACAGCTTCAGGGCGAACTGATAGAAGCCTTCAATACTTACAAGATTACTGAGAAAATAGAGCCAGGCTCTGTCTTGAAGTGCAGGGTGGGAGGACGTGATACAGCAGTCACTAACTACACTGGGGAGGTTCTGACTGCATATAAGGAAAAAAATTTCCCCATGAAGAACAGGAACAAGTTGCCCAGAGAGGTGGTGAAATCTCCACCCTTGGAGGTTTTCAAGACTCAGCTCCACAGACCTGCACAGGAGGTGGGGGTAGAGACTGCCCAAGCTCCCTTTCAACACAAATGGTTCTGTGATTCTGTAACTACAGCAGGAAGCTTCAAAGCTTGTGCTCATTCCCCATCTGAGGCTCAAAAGAGAGGTCATGGTGGTGCCTTCGTGTCACAAGTCCTTTCTGAGACAGCAAGAAAACCTGGCGTATGGGTTGGAAGATAAAATAAAACCCTCATAGGCAGCCCAGAAATTGAAAGAAGTCTTCAAAAAAGACATGAAATCCAAAGAAGCAAAGGCAAGTTACTAAACAGGAAGGACAATTCAAAGAGCCTAGATTTCCAATTCAAGAGTGATTTTTGGCAGAGCTGAAATGACAGAGGATGTGCACCAAGCCAGGGCTGGAGAAAATGAGAAGGGAAACCTCCCTGATGCTGTGTGGCAGAGGGTGAATATACCCAGTGGGAGAAAACACATGTGGGATCTCTGGAAAAAAGCACAGTAGTTAGTCAGATGTCCTCACTATCACAGAAGCCAACATCACACTTTTGACAGGACATGGAAAGCAACCTTTCAGTGGGTAGATAAGGGCTAAACTGTCCCTTACAAACATGAATTGAATCTTCCAATTCCTACTAAGTAGTCTGCACCTTCACTGAAGTAAAATATGTGACTGCATCTTCATTATACTAACTTCAGCCAAACCACTTATTGCCTAAAACTTAAACCTGATGTGATGTATTCATTATCTTTTTAGAGGTTTGCACTAGCATGAACCTTTGCATCTCTGGAGTCCTTCTGTGGTTTCAGTAGGAGAATGCTCATTTCATTTATGCCTTTTGCAGAATAGTATGACGCAGGTTCCTCAGCTACCCCATGACTGATCTAGCATGACTTTACAGAGTAACTGAGTGCAGGAACAAGCTCAAACTTGCTCTGCAGGGAATTAATCTGAAATAGCTGTTCCAGATTATGTTGTGTTGAAGCTTTTATTCTAAAGTGAAGGAAGAGTTCCATAGCGATTAAACTTGAATAGTCATTCCATTTTAAATGCATATTCTGTTTTTCTCATGCAAACACACCCAAAAAGCTCCCACAAAACAGACCTTCCTCCTCACACTGATTTTGGTATGTCATCTGGAAGGGATCACACAGGTCTGACCTCAAGAGAAAGACAGGAATCTTACTCTTACCTGACTTTTTTTTAATAAGTATCTATATGCTTTCACATCTCATCCATGGGCCTTTTGGTTTCTTTTTTATTTCTTTCCCCAAAAAGCACATTAGCCAGGTAATAACGCAGAGTACAAGCTGGTAAACTTACTGTGGCATCTTCTGAACATGAAGCTATTACGAAGTCATTGAACGGGTTCCACTTGATGTCCAGAACACTCCCTTTGTGCCCACATATTTTGGGATAATGTGGGTCGAGCTTGCCTGTCTGGAAAAAACAAATATCATCAAACCTAAGGTGAGCCATGGAATTACAGGACATTTTCAAGGAAGATCCAAGCCAGCTCCAGCAAGAAATCTCTTTCTGCTTGTTATGCTCCAAATGTCCTGGGCACTCTCTATCTGTCGAGAATGGGTTTTTGCTGTCCCTGCAAAGCAAGTCTTGACGATACCACCAAAAAGAAAGGAAAGAAGTGCTCAGGCCTTCCTAAGTACACACTGCAATCAAGAAATCTGTACACATGCAGCAATCAAGACTGCTGAAGTTAGAAGACAGTATTTGGTTCAGACACCAGAATAAAACTTAGAGAGGAAACACTTATGAATGAGTTGAATCTTCCACATTTTTAAAGATCTTGGGGAAAAAAACCCAGAATCTCTTTCAGAAGACATTTCTTATAAGCAGGAAAAAAATGTTTTAGCTTTTATTTTTTAGCCTCATCAGCTGGCATTTATTTTATTTTTTAAGCAAAAAGACATTTGTGACACAAATCAGAAACGCAGTTTTTCTTCAACAAGCTATCTATTTCCCTCTGATGGTGTTCAAATCCAGCTATTCACCGGATTCAATCAGCATTCCAGACTCTCAAAAAAAATGCCATGTTTGGGCAGCATCTTCACTGGTAAAAATCCTGCACAAAGCACACTAATGAGTATTGAGGGCCTTGTGCCACATGGGGGCTGTGTTGCATCAGGATAAACCCATACTGCAGACACAGTCTCTGCTACAAAGTCAAGTCGGTATATTTATTATGTGCTAGGAAGCGTGCTGGGGAATTCATTAACATTGGAGCAGCACTTGCTTCTCCCTGTCAGGAGCAGAAGTATAGGGAGCTCCAGGAACCACCTTGCATCCCAGACATCTGTCGAAGAGCAAAGGTCAATCACCTAAGGAGAGAGACATGGTGGCAAGCTGGTGATGCTTACCTGCTTACTTTTATCCCACCTGGAAGAATCGTAAATCAAAATGAATGTAAATGCATGCTCTCCTGGAAAGCAGACACTTCTGTTGGTGTACTCCCTGCACCTCTCCAGAGGTGGGTCTTAAGAGTGCACAGTAGAGGGGAATCAGTGCTGACCCTAATCTGGATGTGGATAGGATGCAATTTTCCCAACCTTGAAAATTTGTACGGTTTTGAATGCAGAACAGGACACAATGTGTAACTACTTTGGCTTCACTGGAAAGTTAGTTACATAGACTGGGACTAACCTGCTTTAAACTGAACACCCCAGAGGGCTTTGAAATGTAAAAGACTGTGCTTTTTTAGACTACAGTCTAAAACAATTCCCTTTTATAACAGCGACAATACAAAGTGACTTGGTAAGGCAGAAGAGAGATAAAAGCCCTTTAATAAGCAGCGTTCCCCACCCACGGTGTCCTTTTGCAGGCTTCAGGGCTTGGTTTCAAGCTGGCAACTCGACGGGCTGGGCAGCCAGCTCCACAGGGATCCCTTGATCCCTATGGGAACTCTGTCCCCTCCCAGAGCTGGCTGCCTGTCTGCTCCCCACTCCATTTGGGAGGCTCCCAGGCTGCCCTGAGCCCACTCTGCCTGCCCCATCCTGCAAGGCTCTCCTACCCCCACATCCCCAGCAGGCTCAGCTGGCCTGCAAAAGGAGCTCTTGCCCTCCGGGCCACCAGTCCCACCTGCCCCAATGGAACCCTGCAGCCCTGGGACAGAGCAGGACCCACAACACATGAACCCCCAGACTGCCAACAAACGTATATGGCAGGTAGCGCTGTTGGTCTCAGATGCGCCTCTGCATGTGGAAGTAAAGCTCTTCATGTGCGGGAGAAATTTCATTCCACAGATCAAAAACTACTTCAGTAACTAGATGTGTTGTCATTCATGCAGAGGTACATGGCTTCCACAGTTATTTGCAGAGCTTGAAAATGAGTAATTTTTCAACCCCTCGCTTTCTAAACTCCCAGCATTTTTGAAAAGTAGCCAAACTCGGAGTTCCTTGATGAAAACCACTTCTAGTGGGACAGCTGTTAAAACTCTCCAAGCAGATTTGTACAGGGTAGATTACCGTGAGATGGGTGAGCCCCACTTCTCAGGTGTTCTCCAAAGGGCACTAACACACCTTGTCGTCACATCGCGGCACAGCACTCACATACGGCGTCAGTTAGGTAAGGCCTGAGGGGTCATCACAGGTTTCATTTCATAGTTCTTGCCCCCAAAGAGAAGGGAGCAGGGTTTGTGTCTAGGAGGTCTACACAACCACAGATATCCTGTAGACCTGTTCACACCTGGTGCTGACACATTGAAAAGACTGGAGACTGCAAAGACTTGGACACAAGTATCTCCCTGTCTCTCGGGACTTTGTTCTCATTTTGCTATCCCTTTGCTTTATGCTGCAAATGAAGAGACGGATGCAGTCTCAACCAAGTCTGGCCATCAGAGACAGAAAAAGGCAGGCCTCTGCCTTTCAAAGGAAGGACACAAAATTGCCCTCTGAGTCCAGACCCTTCCTTGGCATGCACTTCCCCAACACATCTGTGTCAGACACCAGCCTACAACAAGGCCACACTGCGGGAAAGCAGCTCATCTCCCAGTTACAGTCAATGAGCCCATGTCTCCTCAGACTTGCAAGATTTACAAAGGCATTCGGTCTGTTCTGGGCACCAAGCATCCCCTGTGGCCACAGCCACTTCCCTCCCTGGTGAGATGTGCTGCCGTTCCACCCAGCTGGCTTCAATGACACATCTTCATGAGGACCTAACTGACTGCAACAGAAGACCATTCTCCAAGCGGTTGCAAATATTAAACTAATTCCTCTTCAGTTTGAATGCAAAGGCCTGCTGAAAGGAGGGTATCTATGGCAAAGAGCTCTTTCCCTACATAACCCCTGCTGCTCCCAACCCTACATCATCCCCAGGCTCTCAGAGGGGAAGAATGGTGCGGAAGGCAAGAATTGGTATTTATTCAAGGAGAGATGAGAAAGCTTGGTGTCCATGACTCAGCAGGAGAGGAGCACAACAAACAAGCAAGGAGGCACGGTTAAACAGAGCGAGGTTGATCCTGCATTTGAGCACATCCTGAGGCAGGCAGCCCCTCCAGTAGCACATGCAGAATGAACTCAAAAAAGCATTGGAGGGACAAGAACAGCTCCCCGAGTAGGTTGTTCATCCTCCCCAGAAAGTGCAGCCCTCCCTGTCCCAGCCACCATCTCCCGCTTTGGCGAAACGTGACGTCCTGGCTCTTGGGCTTTTCCTCCACACTGTAGCATGCTTGCGATGTGGCTGCTCCCTGTGAATTCCGTCAAAAGTAACCACGGATCAGCTATCCATCATGAGAGGGCAGTACTGTTCTAGGCACATGTCTCCAGACTGGGCTGCCTTCGGTGCTCTGGCAGCCAGCGGCACAAGCCAAGAGCCCAGTATGCTGTCTACCATGGGTCACCACCACAGGAGGAGGTGGCAGCCACAAATACCACCACCAGAAGCACAAGTCAAAAGCTGCCGCTCTTCACCAGGTGGCACCAGTTTGGAAGTGTATCACGAAAAAAAGTAACTGGTATCGCAGCCCTCAGACTCAGGGAACCCCTTTCTGTGGGTGGTTGGGGCCGCTCTTCCCTCCCAGCATGGGTCAGGAACAGGTATTTGAAGAACAGCTGCATGAAGCGCAGTACATAGAGATTCTTTCCCTGATCCACCACCAAAGGTCAACCCTCAAGGGACTTCCTGAACTAGGGGACCTGCAGCTAAACACACACAGTTTGTAAACCAACTCATCTCCATAACTCCATCCTGGTTTGAACCCTTTAATTCTTCTGGGCTTGTCAGCATCTGGAGCAGTGAGCTCCACATCTGAACTGCAGAAGCGTTCACATCCGCTGCTAACAGTCTGCTCCCTGGTCTCCAGGATCCCCTTCACCACACAAATCAAGAAGAATTGCTCCTTACGCTTCTTCCCCACCCTCTTCACAGTTTTATATATCTTGCTTATTTGTCTTTTTTCCCAGACTGATTGAGGCCTAACTCACAGTCTTTCCTCACATGAAAGCAATTTCACATTTTCATTGATGTACTTTAATTATCCCTTTCTGTATCTTCTAGTTCTACCATACCTTTGACTTCTGCAAGCAGTATTTCAGATCTGGGTGGAGTATCTGAGCAGGTGTTAAGAACGGAAGAATTGCTACTAAAGACTGGACAAGCTGAGAAGAGGTGAGAAAACAGAGGAATTAATAGTAAGCAGTGCAAGCACCTTCAGCTCATTTTGCCAACACTTTGAGACCTGGGTCCTACCCCTCATCCCACAGTCACCAGCTGCCTGCTTATAGATGCAGCTCTGTGATAAAGACGAGTTCTTCAGCCTCAACAGACCACAGTCGAGGGGGCAGAAGTGACTCAGTCAAGAAAAGCAGGGTAGTGGTTAATTTTAGAAGGACCGTCTCTGAACAGCACCAGCGGTGAAGGAGCTGAATAAATGAAGTCTAGAAGGGCTGGGAACTGTGCTAGGTTCTTCAAGCATAGCCAGTTCACTTTCATCCTTAGCAAATATATATTGAAAAAGTGGCATTACAATAACACCATCAATTACTTTTAATTAAAGGTTGAACTTTTGCCTTTCATCTGTTCTGCCCTGATTCCAGAGAGCTCATAATCTCATATTGAAGTTAATCCACATTAGTGCATGCCTAATTTTTCTGAAGCAATAAACATCAGACAGCCAGCTTCTCCCTCTCATCAGATCCCTAAGTCATCAAAACCCATAAACATGGGATTTGTTTCTGAAAGGGAAGTTTTTCCAGCATCAGTGCTTGAAGCTTAAGAGCTTCATTGCCTGATAACCGTGTCTCCATTGTTTCACAAAGCAGAAGGTAGAGCAAAACATATCATATTCTCTTTTGGTCACAGCTGAAGCCATGCCACTAAACCACCTTTCAGTTTTTGCCCTCTGTATCTACTAACTGCTTTTTTATTTGCAATTTCTCCTAGGAGACAAACATCTGAACAGCACAGTTCCTGCTGATTATACAAGAAAGGCAAATGAGATATGAAATGAAGGAAGGTGTTAAAAAACTGCAAGCAGCAATGTAAGACATATAAGTACACACATCCCAGGAATCACCTGCCAGGGCATCTGGGGCCCCTTCCATCATTTTGCAATTTGGGCAACAGCATTAACTGAATATCCTCTGTGCAATCTAGCTCCCTAGAAAGCCCAGCTCTCCTCCAGCCTCTCAACACGCTCACGAAAGCCAGCTCGCCTCGGCAGAGCTCACCTGGTGGATGGGAATGACGAGGAAGGCCCCCCCGCCCGCGCACTCAGTCACCACCGCAATGAAGTGGGGGTTCACGGCACAGAAGTGGTTGTCGTGGACGTTGCGGGTGATGGGCACGCAGTCATAGCACTTCTCCTTGCTGGCGGCTTTGCCATACACATGGCGGAACTTGGAGCTGCGGTACTGTGGGTGCCACGACATCTGCAAGGGGAGAAACACAACGCCCCATGACATAAGGACTGGCCGTCCCGGCAAGGATTGCAGACCCCCCATCCCCCTCTCCCCAGCACAGGCTCACCCTCCCCATTTGGGCTCCTCGCACCTCAACCAGCAAGCAGCAGCCGCGTTTTTCTCTGCTGGTCTTCACCCCTTTGGCATGACCTGTCTCTGCACCCATTGAACATCTCTGATGGAGAAAGGAGAGTGTGGGGGAGAAAAGACAGCTCTTTCCATCACCTGCCAGCTGGGCTGTGCATGCACCAGCAGTCCCTATCGCTGGGGCAGGGCCACATGGCAGCAAGTTTAAGAGGAGATGAATCCCGGTAGGACAGAGCTCAGGAAGCATGAAAGATGTAACATCTTGGGTGAGGAAAGCCTGAAAGATGGCGAGTGAATGAGCCAGTCTGGATGCATGCTTTGTTTAGCCCTCAGGTGGTTTAGGACCAAAAACGAGTCTAAACTTTGCTCACATGAAGGGAAAAAAGAGGTTTGACACACCATAGGAATAGTTAGTCACCTGTTGTTTTTTCTCCCACTGACAATGACGTTCTGCACGTCTGATTTATAACTGCACCACAGCCCTCTGACAGACAGCATTTTAAATGGTGTTTAAGAGATACATAAAGCATGCCAAACACAAGAATCCCTTCCCACAGAGAGCAGTGAAGCTTAATGGAACTGATGCAACTGATTTCAAATAGGAAACCACCAGTGTTGGGCAGAAAAGGCAATTCAGACTATTAACTCCTGCTCTTTCCACAAGACCTAGACAGTAAAAGGCACATGGTGGGGATGGTGAGAAGATCCTACTGCCCAAAGGAAAAGAAATGCAGATCAGGCAAGAAGGTTATGGGTGAAAAAGAGCCCCACACAATCAGTTGGGAGTCTGGGCAAAGACTGGGAGAGGGCTCGGCTTTGCCCCATATCTATCTGTTTAACATGCATTTGGCGAAGATATTATCAGTGATGCTGGATCAACGATACTCCAGTTTGAAACAGGAACCCAACCAAACAGCTTTTGAGTTACAGCAAGACTTAGACCGCTCACTCACATGGGTAAGCATTTGAAGGGAAGCACGCGCTCAATGGTAGGAAGCCAAGAGCATTATCACCTGACAAGCAGGGGTCTAAGCAATTCTAAACCAAAATGTCCTTGTTGCTGGCACGGTATTGCATCCTCCTAGGATGACTATTAAGTGCTAGGAATCTGTATTGCTTGATCCTGGGCAGTCGAACTGGAGCTTTACAAGCACCTATCAACACGAAGATCCACAAAGCTCACATCCCACATAACACTGGAAGATTTGGGCTGTGAATAGTGCTAGGACACAAGTCCTGTCCTATTCCCTGCCTCCTCCCAATCTACTGGCACAACTCAGAGCCAACCCCACCTTGGACAAATACACATGCCCGTAAAAAATCAGTCCTGGCAGATCACCAGTTGCTTTCACAGTCATTTTTGTTGCTCACTTTTACCTTGGTGTGTTTTACCTATGTTAACCCTGCATTTGTCCATATTCTTAGCTGGTTAAATTTCTTGTGCGGAAAACATTAGGTGCAAAGGATCTCTGATACAGTGAGGGCTACCTAACCCAAACAAAAACAAAGAAATGCAAGTTATTTGAAAAAGAAAGCAGTGATCCTGAGAAGCTAATCCTGGAAGAAGGGATGTTCACAGGCAGAAGGCAAGCTGAGGTTACATACAAATGGCTAGCTCCCCAAACAGCCCCAGAGGTGCAGTGTTCTCAAACAACTTCACGCTCATTACAGCTTTAGTGGTTAAGTTTACTCACACCAAGGAAAAAAAAATTACTGTATTGTCTGGATGCAACAGTTCTTTCTTACAGCAGGAACATTATGTTTCCAAAATTGCCTGGCTCCAAGGAACTTCTAAATAAACTGCTCTTGAAGTGGGAGAGAGCGTGTTGTCTGGAGGTTCAAGGCTCCTCTGCAGAAAGGAGTCGCCAAGCACACGGGAGATACTCATTATTGCAGTATCATTCCTATGGAGAACAGGAACACCCAGCAAGATACTGACATCCCATGCAGACTACCTGTAAAATGTTGACAGCAAATAAGGAATAAAGGAAATAAAAGGAATTAAATGCCAAAGTTTGGACAGTGCTTAGGAAAGACAGCTCTCTCCTATTTCAATTTGTAGAATTAAGGTTCAGCTGCCACAGGAATGGACTTCAAAGCACCTACAATTTGGACAGCAGGGCAAGATATGACTGGGAATATCATAAAATTGGCAAAGACAATCCCACTGTTAAAGTGTCCCTCTTGACATGATTGCAGCCACAGTAGAAAGCTCAGCATTGAAAGAAAAAACTCTTAGATATGGCGAAAAACAGCCTGAATAGGTGCAGCATCAGCAGACTGCATCTGGTACAGTGGGAGACGCTGATCCCAAATAAAGCAGACACATGGACATGAGGAAAAACTTTTTTGGAAGGAGTGTGGAGGAGTGTTCTGCACTAGAAGTTGCTCAAGTGGTGATAGGTCTCTTGTCCCTAGAAATCCTTTCATGACTTGATTAGACAAAGCCATATCCTCCTTAATCTAATGTTCATAATAGTCCTGCTCTGAACAGGAGGCTGAACTGGCAAAAACCAAGGGCACAGTGTCACCAAATCATACTGAAACCTTATGATTTACAACTGAAAATGCTCACATCTTCACTAAGTAAAATAAGCCCCTGTCTGTAGAGCCATCTGCTACAAGCTGTGTAGCAGACAAGATGTGATTCCTCAGCAAGAGACCATCTTCCAGCTGGCTGTTTATGAGAACATCACGGCCAGGGCTCTGAGGGATCTCAGCTATTAGACAGTGCAAGCTATGGCACCTACAAGAAGATCCTTGCAGATTAAAGAGGTCACCATTCCTAGAAGTTGTCCATCAGAGCTCTCAACACACCAAATGCTGTGTTATGTATAAATGTAGGCCCAATACCAAATGCATAGGTGGGCGTACAGGTACTAAAAGGACTACAGAGACACTTATCCCCCAGCAGGTCCGCAGTGCAGTCTGCCTTCATGCAGCTTGCCCAGATCTGCCCTTCCACTGCTGTCAGGGCAATGTAGGAACCAGTCACAGGCCACTGGTAGCCCTTTTTAATCAGCAGTCCTGGCCCAGCCTCCTTGCTCAGCTCCTGTGCTTGCATGACAGGGCAGAAGGGGCCTCAGTCTACAGCTACAAGCCTCTTCCTTGTTTTTTTCTTAAAGCAGCAGGGTTTTCCAATCACTTCTTCTCCTCCTCCTCCCTCTACCTTCCTGGAAGGAAGGATTTGGTTTATTCACTCGTCATCTGGTATTTCAACCATCTTGACCACCCTCCACCCTTTGTTCTGCTAGACGCAATGCCGTATTTGTTCCTGGGAGAGACAATATGACTGCGTGCCATGTCCACTCTCCAGGGCTGAAGATGGAGCAGGGAGATGGGCCAGAGGGAAAAGAGGCATCTCTGCTCCTTCCTCTTAACAAGAAGAGCAGAAAGCACCACAACGAAGGCAGAGCTCGGAGAAAAACACTCGTGGCCAGGCAAGAGGAAGAAGCATGTTTTTTACAGCATCTCCCATCCAGAGCTCAGAGAACCTGTTCTGGTGCAGCTGGCAAAAAGCTGGGCTTTCCTCCTTACACAGGTGTCAGAGAAGGCAGCTCTGCGAATGCTGTGTGGGAGACGAGGGTCTCCTCAGCTTACAAGTGCAAGGAGATGCCAGTTTCTGATATATCTCCTGCTCCCAGAAGGAGCTGTGGTGTGGCCCAAAGTGCCATGACACATCTGCAATCCAAAAGTGCCAGATGCCACTTCCGAACACAGTTGTGGTGAGACACACAGAAAGCCAAGCAGCAGCCCAGATAGAGAAGCTGGGAAGAGCGGGGTTGAGCAAAACACTTCTCTACAGGACTGTACTTGAGCAGCTCCTGAGTGCCTGTTTCAGAAGAACAACATTATGTTACCTGTTGCACTCCTGTACCAGGCAGAGAGAACTGGTCTTTCCTCTTTTATTCTTCACCCCTGCAAGCTTGTCAGCTACTCAAAATGGCTTCCTCGCAGAACAGAAACAGCTTCCTGGCAGTGAGCAGAGATGGCCACTTCGGCCACCGGCAGCATTTCCCACCATTCACTCTTGGAGGCAAGCCCACCTTGACTCCTCTTCCATCTTGGGTGAGTCCTGCAGCAGAGCAGCCCCCACCTTCTCCATAAGGGCCTTTGAGCTGCCAGATGACCCCACGCTCCACTTCAGCTAATTTCACATCAAACTAGTTCACCCAAGCCATGCCACACTGACACATTTCCATGTTCATCTCACCCATTCCATGCCCCACCCTTGCCTACCACACCGACATTAGGAAGCAGGTCCTCACTGCTGGGGGCAGGGAGCAGTGGGGGGCTGCAGCATCATCAGAGCTGAGACTGTGGGCCACAGGGAGCTAGCTGCAAAATCCTCCCTAGAGCAGGAGGCAGAGGCACCTCCATGGGATCCCTCTCTCCCCCATCTTTCCATGGCAAGCAGGAGACCCTAGTGTACGAGTAACTTTTCTCAGTTCTTCCAAAGCTGCAGAGGCTCTGGCTGTACTTTCCACCTACCTCCCCCCATTCAAGGCCCCAACACACTGCAGGACCTTCTCACCAACCTCCTCCTGGCCCTGGTCACTCAGGCTCCCCCACTTCCAGAGGAAAAGGGAGCTGAACGAGGAGATCCTGACAGTAGCAGGGCTACATCTGCTGCCCCTCTACTCACAGTGCCAGGCAGAGCCCTGGGCATCCACTACCTCCCCAGGCCCATCCTGGGGTGGTGGGATCTGCCAGGGGGCCCTGCTCAGTGTTCCCTGAAAGCTCCTCCTTTCCCATTTTTAAATGTTCACTTCCCTCTTCCCTGTTTTCAGGTTTTGCCAGTCACAATTATTTGGTTTCCTTCTAGGTTTCCTCTCCTTTACTGCCATCCATAGGGCAGAAGAACAGACGGACACCAGGCAAAAGAAGGTGACCACTATCCAAACATGCAGAGTTGGGATTAGGAAAACTAAAGCCCACCTGGGGTTGAGTCTGACAAGGGGTGTGAAGGGCAACAAGAAAGGTTCCTACAGGTACCACAGCAGTAAAAGGACAACTAGGGAAAACGTGGGCCTGCTGAGGAATGGGGCAGGAGCCCTCATGACAAAGGACACAGAAAAGGCTGAGGCATTGAATGCCTTTTTCACCTCAGCCTTTACTGCTAAGATGGTCGTTAAGGTATCGGGGGCCCTGAACGTGTGGAAAGTCCAAGGCAAGGAAGACTTGGATGTAGTTTATCTTGACATTAGCAAGGCTTTTGCCACTGTCTCCCGTAACAGCCTCATAGACAAATGGATGAAGTACAGACTAGATAAGCAGACACTGAGGTAGACTGTAAACTGGCTGAACTCCTCGGCTCAAAGGCTTGTGATCAGCAGCACGAAGTCCAGCTGGAGGCCAGCCTCCAGTGGTGCGCCCCACTGGAGTGGGCACTGGAGTGGGCACTGGGGTCAATGCTGCTTAACATTTTCATTAATGATCTGAATGATGGGGCAGAGCGTACCCTCAGCAAGTTTGCAGATGACAAAAAACAGGGAGGAGTGGCTGATAACACCAGAAGGTTGTGCTGCCATCCAGAGGGACCTCGACATACAGGAGAAATGGGCCCACAGGAACCTCATGACGTTCAACAAGGGGAAGAGCCAAGTCATGTACCTATGGAGGAATAACTCCATGCACCAGTATATGCTGGGTGCCAACTGTCTGGAAAGCAGCTTTGCAGACAACAACCTGTGGGTCCAGGTGGACAACAAGCTGACCATGAGCCACCAGCAACGTGCCCTTGGAGCAAAGAAAGCCAATGGCTTCCTGGGCTGCATTAGAAGGAGTGTTGCCAGCAGGGTGAGGGAGCTGATCTTTCCCCTCTACTTGGCACTGGTGAGACACACCTGGAGTGCTGGGTCCAGTTCTGGGCTCCCCAGTATGAGAGAGACATGGATATACTGGTCCAGTCAAGGTGCATGAAGACAATGAAGGGACTCTATCTCTTTTCATCTCTCATATGAAAAGAGGTTGAGAGAGCTGGGACTGTTCACCTGGAGAAGAGCAGGCTCAGGAAGATCTTATCAATATGTACAAATACCTCAGGAGGAGGAGTAAAGAAGACAGAGCCAGACTCTCCTCAGTGGTGACCAGCAACAGGACAAGAAGCAATGGGCACAAACTGAAATACAGAAAACTCCATTTAAACACAAGGAAACACTTTTTTTCTGTGAAGGTAGTCAAACACTGGAACAGGTTGCCCAAAGCGGTTGTGGAGTCTCCACCCTCGGAGATACTTAAAACCTGACCAGACATGGTCCTGGACAACCTGCTCTAGTTGACCTTGCTTTGAGCAGGAGGGTTGCACTGGATGATCTCAAAGGATCCCTCCCAACCTCAATTATTCTGTGACTCTGTGATTTTAGGGCCTCTGGATCTCAGCCATGTGCATCTTATACTGCCCTAAAAATTTCACTGGCAACATAACAAGATGCACACTCATATGATGTGGACTTTCAACCCAATAAACCTGAAGTTTGTCTTGCAGGCTCAGCTCTCCCATCTGTTCCTCGGACAGGGAATGATGACAACATATTCTTCGCCATTCCATGAAAACTGCTGTTTGGAGGGGCAACCATTTTCAAAACTGTGCAAATAGCAACTGGTATAAGGGATGGGGGGGAGGAAGTGAGGGAAAATATACCAACATTCTGTCAACAAGACAGGACTGTTTTTTCATTGCAAAAACTTTCACCATCACCTCCAAAAAAAAAGCATATTTTATAGAGCCCCAAAATTAAATGTTTTGCATAGTCCCTTAACAATATGCTGTCCCTGGACATTTTTTAGGACTAATGGGGTTAGCTTTCTCCCTGAGCTGGAGGGCTGGCCCTGGCGTACAGAGGGTCTCTCCTTGCACAGTCATGTCTTAACAGGGTGGGCCAGCAC